TCAGTCTCTGCCATGGAGACTTACGAAGGCATTTACCAAGATAATCTGGACTGTTTGTTGCTTTCGGAAGACGGAACTCCTCTGTACTGTAATTCTTACTTTTGTTAACCCATAACAAGGAAGAGTTCAGGATTCAGAAAAGACTGAGGCTTTGGAAACCCGCTTGTTACAGCAGCCAAGAGACCACTGAGGATCAAGTCTGAACTCCACCCCTTGCTGTCTGTGTGATCTTGCTCAAATTACCTCATCTCTGTCTGCTTCGGTTTCCTCGGCAAGACAGGTCTCTCGGGCTGTCAATCACATCTCACAGCCATTGTCCTCCAGACATCCGCTGGCTCCCCCTGATAGGGCTGCATTAGGATCTGTGGACTCGGGAAAGGGCAGAACTGATGTTACATAATCCATCTGTGTCAGAATATACAAGTTTCTTCCCTCTTCTATTTATTTCATAAGACCAGTCCTTGTTATGTTGCTGCTGGCCACACCTTCTTCTTTTTTGCAACACTGATAATTCCCTTGGCACCAGACTTATTCAGTACCCTCTGGGTCCCCAAACTCCTGCCCAAGTAATATGCTCTGACCCAGCCTGCCTGCTCTGGCCGGATCCCTTTTCTAAACAAGCTGTACTGTGCACTCAACTTCTGGCCCAGTCCCAATCTTAGATGGTTGCTGGATGGTGGGCCGGCTAGTCTGATAAACTCATTGGAGCTGTGTTGGAGACTAATATTGGTAACCATAATTATAATTGCTCCTTTCCAAGCTCCTCATTTGGCTCTGGCACTGTGCTGAGTACTTTATTTACATTATCTCATTTCATCTTCACAACAACACAACAACCCACTTGTGTATAAAAAACACCGAGATTCAAACAGGTTGTATATTGGCTAAGGTTGTGGGGGGGGAGTGACAAAACTGGGATTCAAGCTCAGAGAGCTGGACTTTCAACTGTCCTCTTTCACGCCCTGCTACTCCCCCGGTAACGGCTTAATGTGTACTCCTTTTCCATATTATTTCTATCTTAACAATTATCATCAACACTTTAAACCAAATGAGAAAGGAATGGGGCCATCTGAGACTGCCAGGGGTGCAATGGTTTTGGAAAAGGAGTCCGTTGAGGCCCCCATGGGCTCTGAGAATACAGAGTTGTCTGCTTTTGATTTCTGCCTGTCAGGATTGAGAGTTGTTCTCAAGACATCCACAGTGACTCTTGAATGGTTCCGATTCAAAAATCAATACCCACATTTCTGTCACTCATATCAAGCCAAAATCAATAGTTCACCCTGGTAAAAGTGAATGGTTTTTAAATCTGGGCCCACATTCCCACTACCTGGTCCCTACCACTACCAAGAAACGGAAAAGGTAGCAATTTTGCATGTAAGATTCTATATTAGGCTCATAAATATGCGGAGTTGTTACTTCTAGTGATGTTATTGATGATTTAATTCACCTTCCTGTTACGAAAACCTTTTCAATGATCGATTGGTTGAGAACTCGTTACATGGCGTTCTGTCTCAGTTGGGTCCTGTGGAATTCAGTACCTTGTTTAAATCCCGGTAGTTGAGAGCAATGCTCGTTGACAACTTAATGACTCAATGTGTAGCAAAAATGCCAGGAATACCTGAGGGTAATAAGAAATTGAGCAGAATTTAAAGAATTCCATGACTTTATTTATGGGTTACTTTTCTTAACTAGGCAACGATGAAATCATAGATGCCCTGAAAAAAACCTAGCAATTATGTCAGGGCACTGACAGATTAAGTTAATAATTTAGGTGAACACTGCATATTCTTTTCCTTTCCCACCCAGCTTTGTAATTTAATGAAATGGATAATGCCCCCCTTGTCTTATAATGCCTTTGAGTATCGTTTTATTGCTTCTGCACTATCTTTTATGGTTCAGGTAAAAGCCTTTCTTTCAGATAAGAGAAAACATTTCGAAAAGTAAAAGGTCTGTAACCCTATTACGGGGATCCTTGTTTTTCCAAGTTGGACTCTGGGGACCAGGCAAGCAGTTGCTGCAGGGGAGGACCTGTCACCACTTGCCTTTTTGGTTGTATTAGCAAAATCTTTTCTGGTCCTTCTCCCACTTGCCTGTTGTTGATACCTGGTCCCATTGTGGAGCTCTGAAAACCATCCAGTGAGTACATCCTGCCACCCCTCCCAACTGTCTTTCCCTCTTGGTAGCTCCTCCAACTTTGGAGCCAGGCAGCCTTGCGCTATTATAATCCCACCTCCACCACTTACTGGCCAGGAAGCCCTGGGAAAGTTCCTTATTTATCTGAGCCTTATTTTTCCTCACCTAAGGGGAAAATAAACCTAACTTGCAGGGTTATTGTGGATATCAAACAAAACAGCACCATATAAGTACCCCGCAGCATGCCAGGAGCAGATGAAGTAGTCCACAAATGTGAGTTCCCACCTGTCAGCCCCTTCTCAACAGAGAGCCGCTCTGAGCCTGTGCACAGGAGGGTCTGATCACGGGCCTGAGGTCAAGGAGAGTTCTTGGGCTGTCAGGTAGGAGAGTGGAGCAGAGGGAATTGGGCATTTCCACACAACCTGAGGTCTTTCCCTTGTAATTTGACTCAATTCCAAAACTGGACAGGTGAAAGGAAAAGATATAAGTTAAAATTCATCTTTTCTAGGGCTTTTTTATTCTAGCCACTGCTTGAGGAGGCGCTTGCCATTTCAGAGAAGAGCAATCATGACTGCAGTCATTATCCTGCCCAGTTATCTCAGGGCCCACGTTGCCGGGGCAGCAGTGGCTCCAAAACAAGGAAATACTGAGAGATTTGTCCATTCTGAGCGACTAATTTGACTTATGTTGGCCAAGAGCTCAGTTTTCACGTTACTGAATAGATCTTTTCCTTCACTAATTGGCTCTCCATCTTGTGAATGTGGTTGGGCAAAGAGGGTCACTCCCCTCAGGCATGGGCCCTGCTTGGTTCTGCAATTTGTCTAGAAGCTTTCCTAAAACACTGGCTCCCCCAGCTTTCTGTTGAAGCCAACAGGTTTTCAACAGCCTCTTTGTTAGTGTTCTTCCATAATAATTTTGTCTGAGCCTGCTCAGGAGACATTCCAGGTCTACTCCTATGAGAGCATTTTCTAGTTTCAGCATGTAAGGTGCTCGGTACATTATCCTTAACCTCTCAGAATCCTTCATTCTTCAAATAACATGAGAGAAGGTGAATTTATGGTCCAGGGGTCCAGTTTGGTGCAAAGACATGGCTTATTTTTCCTTTTAATTGCACACACAGTGTTTGTCCCCCCACGTTCTTATTAAATTACTCAGACAGCAAAGTTAAAAGATATTTATAGTGAACCCTCCTGTACACACCTCCTAGATTCAGCCATTAACATTTTATTCTACTTGCCTTATCACATATCTGTCCATCTATTACACTAGCCATATATATCAATCTTTATTTTTTTGATGCATTTCAAAGTAACTTGCAGACATCAGTACGCTTCCTCCTAAATACCTCAGTATGCTGGAGTTCAGTAAGAAGTACACACATCTTAAGTATATATTCGCTGAGTCCTGACAAGTGCATATGCCTATGTAACCCAAACGCCTGTGAACAGAGTATTAGCATCCCCAGAAAGTCTTGTCATGCCCCTTCCCAGTCAATCCCCATCTGCAGAAGCAACCCCTTTTCTGAATGTTTTCCACCATAGATTGTTTTTATCTGTTCTAGAATGTCATATAAACGGAATCCTTAGTATGTTCTTTTTTTGTGTGAGACTTCTTTCACTCACTATAGTGTTTGAGATTTATCCATGTTGTTGCATGCATCAGTGATTTGTTCCTTTGTATTGCTGAGTAACATTCCATTCTACAAATATATCACAGTTCATCCATTTCCTAAGGATGAACACTTGGCCGGCGTCTAGGGTTTTGTTTTGTTTTGGGGGTAGGGGGGTTGGCTATTATGACAAAGCTGCTCAGAACAACACTGTGCAAGTCTTTTTTCATTCCTCTTGGGTAAATACCTAGGAGTTGAATTTCTGGGTCATCGAGTAGATGTTACGTTTATACATGCAGCTATATGCTTATAATAAATTGCCAAAACTTCCCCAAAGTGACTGTACCATTTACACTTCCACTAGCAATCCAGTTCCTCCAAATCCTGGCCAACATTTGATGTTATCAATCTTAGCCATTTGGTGGGCATATAGTGGTATCTCATTGTGGTGACATTTTATTTCACATTCCCCTAATGATGTAGAGCACTTTTTCACTACAGAGTGGTTTTACTGAAAATTTAATTAACATCATTTAAAAAATCTAGAGGTTTCACATAAAAATCCAGATACCCAGCTTTTCAAGAAACCTCAAAGGACCTAGCAAGACTGAGCTCTGATTCCCACATGGGGACAATCAACAGAAGTTGAGTGGTGGCTGTCCCTTTAGGGCAGATGCCCTTTAGACCCCCAATGTCCTAACCTTCCCAAAACTCCCCAACACATGGGCCAGTTATCAGTCACCATATATCACGTTTGCAGTTATCCTTCCTGTTAAGAGGAAAGTGAGCTATTATTTCTTGAGCCCATATTATCATCAATACTGGAAAAGTGAAAGTTAGATCAAGAGGGTCTTATATTTCAAAATGGGAAGTCTACATTTCTTTGTGTGAATGAAAAGATATTCTGACAATGTTTAATATGTAAATTAAATGGGTCTACTTTGAAAGATTATAATTTAGGGCTCTATAATGAAACTGCCTGGCTTTACTCATTTTTATTATCTGCCTGGCTTCTTTAGGATTTTGAGTTTGCAACTCCTATGATAGAACATTTACATTGATGAATTATGTCTCAAGACTGCACTAACTGGGGGTTATTTTGGTATATAAAGAGATTTAATTTCACGTCCTTTTTTAGAACAAAGAAAAAAATACTTCAATAATATTTCATTCAGAAAACTTCATGTGTTATAAAACATTGAGACTAAAACAAATTGTTTCACTTTCTGAAATTCTATAATTTTGCTTTTAATTCCAGGATTGTAAGTGGAAAATGTATATGGAGATGGATGGGGATGAAATTGCAATAACCTACATCAAAGATGTGACATTCAACACTAACCTACCCGATGCAGAGATTTTAAAGATGACAAAGGTAGGGTTCTATTTACGGCTTAAAAGCTTTTTTGAATTCACAGATATCAAACAAAGACATTAAAATCCCCCAGCAGTGTGCTTTTGTGCTTGTCGATGTTCACATCAGCTCGGCCTCAAGCTGGCTGTTGAAAGGCACATTTTATTTAGCAGATTGAGATCATAATAGTTTTTTGTTAAAATTCCACTTATGCTGTGTGAACTAAAAAGTACTACAAAAAAAGTGTCCTTTAATTTTTAAAAAAATTTCCTTCTTTATTTCTTTACACTTACTCCATCACTTACTAAAGGGAAGAAAGTGGCATCACGAAAATATTTATCTCAACTTTGGGGTCATTTGAAACTTTGAAAAACTTGGAAGGAGGAAGGCTTTCTTGGTTTTCTTCAATTTCATGAAGGACTGAGGGGAGGTTACTCATGAGGCATTTGTTGACATCTTCTTGGCTTCCTTGAGTTCGCACCTCTGGCCAGAGAATACCTCACTACTTTAGGGTCAGTGGTAGAAGTACATCCATTAAAACACAGAAGACAGACTCAGAGAAATGCTTACCTTCTCCTCAAAATGGAAAAAAAAATCAGTTCTGTCCCAATACTGAAAAAAAAATACATATGAGACTTCAATAGTAGAAGGTCAACAACTCAGGTAAATAACCATGATATCCATTGGACAGTCACTCGAAACATCACAGAAGCCATTCTTGAGTATACTATGAACGGTGTATTTGGTTTCAGTGAAGAAAATGGGGTTTGTAGCAAAGAAGAACCTGGGTACAAACACAAGTGGCGAAGTGAAGAGTCTTCAAAGCCACAGCATTAGACTTGCAAATGTGTTCCTTCCTAGGCATAAGATTGCTAAGCATCCAAGTCCTTTGAATTTGCAAGTGTATTCATCAAGTCGATTGATTTGATATTCATTGTTGGAATCTTCTGAGTAACTGGGAGTTATTTCAGTGGTGTTATTTATCTGTAAAGGTTATGCCTTGGTTTTAACTTCCCCTGATTTTGTTGGGACATACTCTGTTTTGATGTCTTGAAGACTGGACAGATGCCTGCTCGTTCCCCCCAACCTATGCCATTTAAAAGTAAGATCCCAGCCCTTGCCTGCTACCAGAAGGAAGCTGCTCACAGCAAAAATGACAGGGTAGAGTTGTAAACCCCAATACAGGTGTTTCTGGTACATTGCCACATATGCACTTCCAAAGAAGCACATCTTCTGCAACATCACACACCAACATTAACTGGGATTATAGGAGCAATAGGGTTTGGGCAGACCATTCAAAATCTGTAGAACTTTTTAACATTGACAGACTCATAACAGTCCTCATTTAAAAAAGAAGAGAAAAGGAGGAAAAAAAAAAAAAGGGCCCAGTTAAATCTCTACCACGTGGTGTGCTTTGTACCCATCTCAAGCCCAGTCGGTCATTTGTAACTTTAAAGCTAGAATGAAGGGGTGGAGGGTGGTTAAGAGAGTGGAGATTCATTTATAATAAAGACCATTTTCATCAAAACTAAAATAGGATCCAAGGTGTCAGGGTGAAAAAGTTTCCTTCTACCCTTCTAAGTTCTTTGGCTGGTCTGCTAATTAAAAGGACCTAAGACAGATTAACAGGAGAAGAATTTAATTTTGTGCATACAGGAGCCCCAAAGATAGGAGACTCAAGAGCAAGTCAGGCAGTTGAGCCTTATGTGCCATCCTGAGCTAAGGAATGAGCCAGGGGCCTGGGGCTTCAAAGGGGAGGAAGGCAATTCACAGGAAGATAAGAAGAGCAGATGTTTGATAATTAGAAGCTTGCCCTGCCATGCAGATAGGTCTTTCAGATAAAAAGTTATCTCTGATAATAGCTCTCTTTCTGGGCCAGGTGCCCTATCTAAATTCTTTTAGGCAGTTACAGGAGAGGTAAAAGTTTTTCTTGAGTCTGCTGGGTTTTGATGGCCTTCAGCTAAAAATACAATACATATGCCAAAGTGACATGTTTTGGGGTGACATATTCTCCCCTTGAAAGGCATAAGCTTCTTTATTAATCCTTTGTTTTAATACAGTGGGGAGATGTCGCCACGGTTTTATCTGCACACACAGCCTGATAGCTGGATAGCCGGATACAGGGAAAAAGCAGAGTAGTTGTTGAAGCCACTAACTCAGCTACTGCTTGCACTCAAAGGAAGGTACATCGGGGTCTGTATTAAGGCTTTGTCTTAAATATGAGAAAGCTTTCTACTGATACTTTAAAACGTTAGCATGAATAATGACCTAATGACAGGATTGAGTGGTATATCAGAGAAGATTATGGGACTAAGACTAGCTGTTTATAACTATAGAAAAAGATGTCTTATGAAAATCAACACCCAAAACATTAGCATGTTGTGAGTAATCACATGTGAACCAACAACATGACTTCCGTGATAATCTGACATTATGCCCTATTTGCCAATTGCATATGGCGTAGCTGGCCTCAAAGTTGCCCTGTAGCAGGGCAGGCTCTACACCATCCTAACTTTTGTTTTTCAGCCCCCATTTGTAATGGAGAAGTGGACTGTAGGAATAATGGAAAATCAGACGGTAGAATGCACTGTCACCTATGAGGTAAGCTTGGTGTTGGGGAGGGGTGGGGCGCTGGTGGCTTTACCGTCAGGTTCTCAGTGGGAATTTATTTGCTCCCTCATAGGGCTTAAAATTGGAAGAGAAACTATTTAACCAACATGAATATGGGAAGATGAACATAATTACGCTAACAAAATGTTGGTAAGGAAAGAGAACAGGATATTCTCACCTAGATAAAGATTGAATTAGTAATTCATCCATTCATCAGTTAATGACTGAACATCTTCCACATGTCATGTCACGTGTTAGGTACTGGGGGAGACCAAACCGTGACCAAAACGGAGTTTTGCCTTCTTGGTGCTTAGAATTTAGGGGTGAGGGTAGATCAGGGATTCTTTTTTTTTTTAAAGATTT